GACGGGATAAAATTCTCAACTCTTTTTCACTAAGGATTTTAAAGTTTGCATCAATAGTAATATTTACATTACTACTCTGTACTTTACAAGCACAAATTTTAACATAATACAGCAATTCAGCTTAATTACTTCCATCAGGACAAGTCTTAAGGTATAGTTATGTAGAAAAACTAAAGGGATAGAGTTTTGGGAACATGATAAAACTGGAAGTATTCAATGGACCACTAAAATATGTCAGAGGAAATAAAGATAGTCAGTTTTGAGAAATATTTTGCCATGATCCCTATTTAAATGGCAATGGATGTTAGAACAAATAAATGTTGGATGTGGTAGACATGTCAGCATCTGGAAAAGGGCAACATTACACCATTAATTTTGATTAGTGTTATTAATATCACAAATAGAGTTAAGAACTGAATAGTCAGCAAACAGGTGATTGAAATAATGAAAGAATGCAATGTGAAAGTTAAAGGACATTAAAGTAACAAAAGCATGAAATGGATGAAGATGCACAAAAATCTTCAAAGTGAAAATGAATAAAATCTAATATGAGAAACAGCAGAAGACTGATCAGTCTGGTCAATGCAAATGTCATTTGCCAACATTTCTTCTCCCTACTACCTCCCAAACTGTGCTTGAAAATATCTCTTCTGTCTCATATCTACATGAATCAACTTCAAGAAAATTATAGTTAAAGGTAAACAATAACTCTAAGGACAGAAGGCAACAGAATGTCTATCAAAAAGCTACTGTTCCAAATTCTGACTTAAGCTTGAATAATATCAGAGTTTAAGGATGAAGAGCAGAGACAAAGTTATTTGATAGAACCAAAACAAGTAATGTCCGGATCACTCGTGAATTAAATAGACGTAGAAAAATAGCCACTTGGTCTGACGAACATGGAGTTGGAAGACTACCTTGCTCACATACAAAATAATATGGGATTGTAGGCATGGGTTGAGAAAATACAAACAAGTGCTTTTATTGCAAGGGGAAGTGTCATGAAAGAGCAGAAAGGGCTCTGTGATGGAACACAGATCAAAAATATCAAAGCGGGAATGGCAACTCTAGGAAGAGGGTGGAGTGGGGAGGATGAATGAAAAGAAAGTATAATCATGTGTCCTGAAAGATAACCTAAAAATTGCAGGGAATATTGGAATGGCAGACAAAATCATAGCAACACATGTATCAATGTTAAGTACATTGTAATCTTTTGTACAAATTATATTGCAGGCTTTGAAAAAAAGTGGAAATAACTAACAAAATCCAACACTTACTTTGCTACAGGGTCACTTTTCTTTATGTTTCTTGTGTGAGGATGATCCATTAATGGTCTAATAACTGCAACAGCATTCATTTAAAAAGGATTTAGTGTATATTCTGTACCAATTAGATTAAGTAAAGTTATGGTTCTATTTTGTCTCATCACATTAGGAGAACATACTAACAGACTTACAGTCTCTCATGGAGGCAGTAAACAATGGCCAGTTAAGCTGGCTTTGACAGAAGAATAATCTTGCTCAGGAATTGAGAATCCTCCTCCATTTTGAGTAGTGTTAGATGATCATTTATGCTCATCCCATGGCTTTGTTGCAAGGGGAATGGAGTATAAAAGTAATGAACCCTGCTTACAACTGTACAGGGCAGTGGTGTGGCACATATGGAATGCTGTATGCAGTTTTAATCTCTTTTTTTAATGACGGATATATTTATATTGGAGATGGTTCAGTGAAGGTTCAAGTAGGCTGATTCCTAAGATTGAGACAGTTTTGAGAAGAAGGTTGGAACCATACTCATTTAAATTTAGGAGAATCAGAGCTGATGTTATTTAAATAAAATTACAAGAGTACTTTATAGTAGGCAGAGAGAGTGTTTCCTCTCAGGAAGTGTAAAGCTATGGGGACTATAGTTCCAAATTAAGGAGTCTCCCAATTATGACGGATCGGCAGGAATTTCTTTTCTCAGTTTTGTTAGTATTTGGAATATTCTGAACCAGACAACATTGAACACTGAATTGATTATATTCAAACTGAGTGAAGATTTTGATATAAAACATTAATTTGAGGGGTGGGTGGGGGAGTAAGTGTGGGACAGACAGGAAAGCGGAGTTAAAATCACAGTCAGAACTTACTGTACAACAGAACAGTCCCAATGGGCTAAATGGTTTTTTCCTATCCTTGTTTCTTTGTGCTCACTCTGACAGGCATGTTTTCATCTAATTTAATGTTTCATATTTCATATAAAATATGACTGACAATATTGAAGGGAGACAGCTGTAGACTATATTCAGTCTTGGAGTGGGGCGTGAACCTACATGCTTCTGTTTGCATACAAGTACTATTATAATGTGTACTATTTTAATAGACTGATTTACCATGAGGTTGAGAGGGCCATATTTCGTGTGCACAGTGTATTAAGAGTCTGAATCAAGAAAGTGGCAGTACAAAACTTAATTTGGTAAAATCTAATGTAGTCTCTGGATTTTAGTAATGCTTAGAAACATAGAAAATAGGCGCAGGAGTGGGTCATTCAGCCCTCCAAGCCTGCACCACAATTCAATATGATCCTGGCTGATCACACAATCACAGTATCGCATTCCCGCTTTCGCTCCATACCCCTTCATCCCTTTTAGCCATAAGGGCCACATCTAGCTCCCTCTTGAATATATCTAATGAATTAGCCCCAACAGCTTCCTGTGGGAGAGAATTCCACAGGTTCACAACGCTGAGTAAAGAAATTTTTCCTCATCTCAGTCCTTGGCTTTAAAAATAGAAATTAGCATAGTTTCCCCGGACATTAGGTCCTTGTACAAAATATTTCATGAATTCTTAAATTATTGAAAGATACAGCAAAGACAAAATGATAATACTCACATGACTTTGGTTGGTTTGAAACAGAACCATAACCCTCACTTCCTCCGGGCCTACAGTTACACTGCAAAGATAGAAATACATTTCTGAATATGATGCCTTGTGTGTAAAATTGGAACAAACGTTCAGAGAAGTTGCTTGCTCTGGCTCATAATTCTTGTACAATCTGTAGTTTGACTCAATGCCCCTGAGGGCAACCAGAGTTGGTCAATACCCTGTCCACATCCCAAAAAGCAAATCATTCTGTAAAGAGCAGTTATGCATAAGTTTAATTCCATGCACGTGTCCTAACTGGAGGATTATTTGTTCATTCTATTTGAATATTTCAATCTTTAGTTTTCGTCCTACAAGTTAACCACAAACATACTGGAGTAAGAAACGTCCCTGACCCAAATTAGTACAGAAACAAGCAAAGGCAGGACATTGTTCAGATTAGTTACCAGATCTCTTGTGAAGAATGAGTGGGCAGAATTTGGTCGTCCTCCGGTTATGCTTCCAGGTCTGTTGCCCAATTCTTCAGTTTGTGTATCAGACTCTGCTTCGTTGCTGAAAGTTTGAAATTTGCTGAATCTTTGTCCCAATTCACTGACTTCATCTTTTTGAAAAGGTTTAACAAAAGATTACAGAACCATTGATAAAGATGTTACATTAAATAGCAATGCAAATGTTTTCCAGTACTCCTCAGTTCAGGATTAGAATCACCAGATCCAGCTCCTTGAACATATCTAATGAACTGGCCCCAACAGCTTCCTGTGGGAGAGAATTCCACAGGTTCACAACTCTGTGCGAAGAAATTCTTCCTCGTCTCAGTCCTTTACAATAGAGATTAGCATAGTTTCCCTGGACATTAGGTCCTTGTATAAAATATTTCATGAATTCTTAAAATTACAGAAAGAATCAACTGTTATATGTTCCACAATGATCGTGGTTAGGTCCACTGTTGTTTGTCATTTATATAAACAATCTGGATGAGAATATAGGGACCATGGTTAGTAAGTTTGCGGATGACACCAAAATTTGTAGTATGGTGGACGGTGAAGTTTATTTAAGAGTACACAGGACCTTGATCAGCTGGGCCAATGGGCCGAGAAGTGGCAGATGGATTTTAATTTAGATAAATATGAAGTGTTGCATTTTCTTAAGACAAATCAGAGCAGGACTTACACAGTTAATGGTAGGGCCCTGGGGAGTGTTTTCGAACAGAAACCGAGGGGTTCAGATACATAGCCCCTTGAAAGTGGCATCTCAGGTAGATAGAATGGCAAAAGAGATGTTTGGCACACTTGCCTTTATTGGTCACAGCAGTGAGTAAAAAAGTTAGTTTATCATGTTGTGGCTGTACAGGACATTGGTGAGGCCACTTTTGGAGTACTGCATACAGTTCAGGTCACCTTGCTACTGCAAAGATGTTATTAAATTGGAAAGGGTGCAGAAAAATTCACAAGGATGTTACCAGGATTGGAGGGTTTGCGTTATAAGGAGAGGCTGGATAGGCTGGGACTTCTTCCCCCCTGGAGTGTAGGTGGTTTAGGAGTGACCTTACAAAGGTCATGAAAGGCATAGGAAAGGTAAATAGCAAAAGATCTTTTTCCCAGGGTAGGGAAGTTCAAAATTAGAGGGCACAGGTTTAAGGTGAGAGGGGAAAGATTTAAAAAGGACCGGAGGGACAATGTCTTCCACACAGAGGGTGGTACGTGTATGGAATGAGCTGCCAGAGGAAGTGGTAGAGGCGAGTACACTTATAATATTTAAAAGACGTATAGGTACACATATAGGAAAGGTTTGAGGGATATGGGCAAATGAGACTGGTTTAGTTTGGGAAACCTGGTTGGTATGGATGAGTTGTTGAAGGATCTGTTTCCATGCTGTATGAATCTGACTATGACTCTATGTGAGTTGACATTTGCTTCACTAATAGGTCTTCCAACAGCATCTTCCGAGCCGGTAACCTCTACCACCACCTGCAAATTCCCTTCCAAGTTATACACCATCCTGAGTTGGGACTATATTGCTGTTTCTTCACTGTTGCTGGGTCAAAATCCTGGAACTCCTTTCCAAAAGTGGGTGTCCCTAAGCCACAAGGATTTCAGCAACTCCCAGCTCGAGCTCACCAGCACCTTTTCTAGGGCAATTAGGGATGAGCAATAATTACTGACCAAGCAATATTCACCCATATTCCACAAACAAATCTTAGAAATAAATCCTTAAGGAAGGGGATTTTCAGAAGGAAATCTGCTGGCCTTAACTGCAAGCCACAGCAATGTAGTTGAATCTTAGCTGCCTCTGAAATGGCCTATCAAACCACTCAGTACAGTGGCAATTAGGGATGGCCGCATCCCATGAAAGAATAAATAAATATAGATTGACACCCTCCTCTGCTGTCTCTTTGTACAGAGCCTCATAGTTCCTTTGTTACATTGAAAAAAAGGAAAATTTGCAGCATGCCTTTTTACACCATGAAGTTTCACTATCTACCATCAGACATGAAAAAATGCATTGGCAATTCAGAAACAAAAGGTGGTTCCATATAAGATTGGTACACAAAAAACTACTGTCCACTCAGTTTTCATTTCAAGAGAGCTTATTATTTTGTCTGGAATCTTAAACATTGAATTAAGGACTCCTAGTATTGGATTCTACCTCCCCTGCACCACCAACCCCCCACCCCCGAGTAAAAATATCTTCGCCACATCTACTCAATCCAACTCAATGTTAATGACTACTCTCAAGTCACTTCCAAGACTTCTTTTTACTAAAGAACATAAAAGCCCCTTCTGTTCAATCTTTTCCAATAGCTGTAATCTTAATTCTGATATCATCCCTATAAATCCTTTTCAAAATGTCTGTTGCTTCTATGACTATTTTACAGGGAGGCTAGAACAGTGCACAGTGCTACGTGTGGCCTGACCAAGGTCCTATACAAATTTTAAAAAAAATCTGAATTCCGCTCCCTTAGAAATAAGTCCCATATTTTTGTTAGAGATAGTAGAAACTGCCGATGCTGCAGAATCTGAGATAACAAGGTGCACAGCTGGATGAACATAGCAGGCCAAGCAGCATCAGAGGAGCAGGAAAGCTGA